TATAGGGAGCACTATATATATATATATATATATATATATATATATACACACACACACAGATACTTTCATGAGAGAGGGAGAGAGAGCTTTTTAATAAATCTTGTTTACATTATAATCAATTTTATAAATATATAAATAAATATTATAATGGGTATGTATATATACATATGAATATTTACATTTTATATATAACAAAATATATTAATATATTAACTTCATTCAAAAGTTAGAGAGAGAGAGAGCCCTTTCTGAGAATTAATTCTACCTCTAAATTTTTTCAATGTTATATTTTGGTCACTGGTCATCCTTACTCAACTGTAAGCTAATACCATTTCTTACTGTTCTTATTTTCTTACTATATTTAGAAATGTCCCTGCCGAATGAACTTTGTTTTTGTTTTCTTTAATATGCCCGGTTTAACGTACTAATAATCCCATACAGGAACCATCTGTGTGGCTCATTTGTTGATTGACTCATTGGTTATACTCAATATTCAGACATCACTTGAGCATCAGAGCTATGTCTGCACACATTTCATGCTCTCTATGATGGACAGTGGTTGCACCAAAACTCCTTTGATTAATACGAAAAGAAGCATTTCACAATGATTAGCTGTTGTTTTCAGATACCATTACTGTGTCCTGCCAACACGAGTGGGCAAAGGAACTCAAGTAACTTAATGAGATAGCATGGAGCTAATCGACAGGCTAGGGCACCATTGGCTGGGACCTTGGCTCCCAGAACCCCTCTCCCACACAGCAGGGCTCGGTCACAACAACACCAGTGATTGAGACTGACAGGCTGTGCGCTAATAAAGAGATTACATGGAAATCCCTCTGAAGCCAACACTTCAGGACAGCATTCGTTTGGATATCTAGAACAGCTGCACCTCAAAGGTTGTCCATGCGTGAAGTTAACATTACGTTTAGGCCACAAGGGACACATTAACCAATCAGCATTATACTATAAAAGGTCACCGAACAGTGCAGGTTGTCTAAGCTGTCTACCGGGGCAGTGGGATGAAAGATCTCAACTTGCTTAATCTAAGAAATGTTCCTCAAATGAATGGTTGTCAAGCACAAAAATTGCTTGTTACCCTCAAATAATCACAATTTAAAGGGATGGTTCACACACAAATGGAAATCCTGTTATAATTTACTCACCCTCATGATAATCCAAATTTGTATGACTTACTATTCTCTGATATTTTGAAGAATGTTAATACTAAGAAAGTCAATGGGGTCCAAAACAACCGTTTTCACATTTTTCAACACTTGTTTTCGTGATTAAATGATGACCAAATGTTTATTTTGGTCTTAATTATACCTTTAAAGTCACGTTGAAACTGAAGTAGCGACAAATTTCTTCCAAAATGTTACATACATCAGAGTGTATCAGAGTGTAATGGATAACTGAAAAAATGGGGGGAAAAAAATAGGGCGGGTTGCTTGATTGTATGTTGAGATTTGGGTGTGAGCTAGCAGGGGCGGAGTTTAAGTGGATTAAATGATTGGAGAAGTCGTGTCAACATCTAGTTTTCCTCAGAAGGTCCAGTTATGACAATTTGATTAAATATTAAAAAAAAATGTAACGCAATGCATGGATGAATTGTTCACAACAATGTTATTATTGTTAGCTAAAACTAAAACTATATAAAATTTGTTAATTAAAAAACAAAAAAACGCATTTTATTTCAGCTAGTTGCCAAGGCCACATTTTTCACTCTCTTTAAAGGGTTAGTTCACCCAAAAATGAAAAGCTGTCATTAATTACTCGCCCTCATGTCGTTTCAAACCCGTAAGACCTTCGTTCATCTTCGGAACACAAATTAAGATATTTTTGATGAATTCTGAGAGCTCTCTGACCCTCCCAGACAGCAATGTAATTAACACGATCAAACGAAAACAAAAAAAAACGACTTTATTCAACAATTCGTCTCCTCCGCGTCACCCTGGTGCTATTTTGGAGAATATCCACTGAACGTAAACAGCATATGCTATTCTGTGTCAGCTGCGTCACAGCTGTGACACAGCTGACACAGAATAGCATACGCTGTTTACATTCAGTGGATATTCTCCAAAATAGCACCAGGGTGTGCCTAGCACCGCGTAGAGGAGACGAATTGTTGAATAAAGTCGTTATTTTAGTTTTTTTTTGCATACAAAAAGTATTCTCGTAGCTTCGTAAATTACGGTTGAACCCCTGATGTTACATGGATTATTTTACCGATCTCCTTGCTTTTTTTCTGGACCTTGATCGTGGTAATTACATTGCTGTCTATGGGAGGGTCAGAGAGCTCTCAGAATTCATCAAAAATATCTTAATTTGTGTTCCGAAGATGAATGGAGGTCTTACAGGTTTAGAACGACATGAGGGTGAGTAATTAATGACAGAATTTTCATTTTTGGGTGAACTATCCCTTTAAGTTTAACATGAAGTACTAAAATAACAGTAAATAAACTAACTTGAATAAATGAAAATTAAAAAAATGACAAAACACAAAATTACTCAAACTTTAAAATTAAAGTGAAAACAGAAAATAAAAAATCTAATTCAAAAATATTAACAAAAACGATAAAAGTATATGAATGATACTGAAAGAACAATGTTTCACAACAAGATCCATAACAGGCATTTAGAAAATAGATAGAGTGAATTTTCATTTAATGGCAACTTCTCAGTCTCGAGCATCTCAGTCTTCCAGTGCATGTTATGATATTGCTGCGTCATCACCCGGACAGCAGCAGGCCTAACATGGCCAGCTCTTATTTTGGATCAGATCAGAACTGATGTAATCTCCCCTTACAGGAGCTGATGGATGTTTTGTGCTGGCGAGAAAATAAATAGGGATGTGGACAGCCAAAAAAATGTTCATTCCACCAAAGTTCTCCTAGGTACAGGTTGCAGAGGAGTGAAGTATGCCAGAGCAATCTATTTCACATGGCGCAGCTGAAACCTAATTACACAGATTAATGTCCCATGGAAGGTGCCATTACCTAAATAGCCTCCTAAGAAAGGAGGAGACTTCGCTTCAGCCTAAATATGCGGTTTAAATGCTTCAAATCTAGATTCGAATATGTACGTCTTTACTTTCTCCCGTCTGCTGCTGCAGTAAGATTTTGTGCAGCCTTTAATTCCCCCTCTGCAGGCACTTCTCTTGACAATGACCGTAAGCCTGGATAAGTCTCCACCCCGCCTCTTCCGGTGTGAAATATTTAACCAGGGCTGCCAGTAGCAGAGCAAAAGGCCAATCTTATCATTTAATACTGATTTTGTTCCCACATCTTACCTGTTTAGTGTGCAAATGCAGGACTGATTAAACTACTTTTACTTCCCCAGCGAAACGTCAGGGACCCGGCGTTGGGGGACTAAAAGAAGTTGATCGGCTCACTTCTGATCCCGGTGTTTACAGCTGCGTGTGGAAGCACGTGCAGGTCATCCTGCCACGACACCGGCTTCTTAAAATAAGACCTCGGTTGTGGTGGATGAGAGAGCGGGAAATGGAGTTGACAGTCAGAGCCATGAGCTTGATGCGGCCTTCGGTTGAATGTGTCAGACCAGAAGCACCCCAACCCCCAGCTTCACCCCTCTGCTCACACACAAGTGCGTGCTGTCACAAGGCATTAGCGTGGCAGAAATACACACATTTGCTCCTTCCACTCC